TCAGTTTTACAGCATTATTCCCATTTGGAACTTACAGGGATTTGGAATCTTATATATCCTTCCTTAAGAGTTAACTCTGATGATTGCAGTTGTGTCATAATTAGTATTTGTGCTGATCTGGAAAATGGAGTACTGAGTCATTTTCCTGCACTTTTTTTTTAAACCATCCTGTTTACAGTCTCTTCCCTTGGGAAACAGTGAGAAGTAGTAACAGGATTTGCAGGTTGGGAAAGAATGTGATGGCAATTCTCCTTCTATGGCCAAGACCATCTCTTTATCAGCCAATAGGGTCATCCTGAATGGTGGGAGAGTTTATGGAAACATAGAAATTAGGAACAGGAGACATTCAGCCCTTTGAACTTACCGTGCCATTCAATATGATCATTGCTGATCATGCAACACAATCCCCTGTTCCTGCTTTGTCCCCCTACCCTTTAGACCTAAGACTATATATAACTCCTTCTTGAAAATGGGCTTGCACTTGCCAATATTGAAAAGGCAGCAGGTATGTGCAGTGAATACAGACAGGTCAAGCTGAGATGCTGTTGCCCATTTTGTGAGTGTTTATGGAGGGCCTCAGGGTCAGATGGCTGAAAAGTGAGCAGTTGCACTGTAAGGGGGATGGGAAGAGTTTTACTCATTGCGTTCCACATCGGGGTAACAGCATTGAATTCCAAACACCCTGAAAGACACTGGTGTGCCCAGTGATGCCAATGCAGTTTTTACTGCCTATCCTTTCCCATTGCATCTTTCTTTTCAATTATACCCTTTTCAGTGTTAGTTTTGTTGTTGTTAACTCAATTAGCTGGACAGCTAGTGAGTGATGCCAACAGAGTGGGTTCAATCCCCACACCGACTGAAGTTACCATGAAGGACTCTCCTTCTGAACCTCTCCTCTCAACCTGATCAATTAAATATATATATAAAAAGTGCGTTATATGGATCACAGTTATAATGGCTGCGTATTCTCTTGCGACTCTGTTCATGTGAGTGATGGACTCCAAACCTGGATTCAGATTCCCACCTTGACATACCTGTTGGCAACAATTCATAGTCGGCTCTTTTCAAATCAATGACTGATTCATCCCTCACTAAATTTCAAAATATCCTTATCACATCCAGAGGAAACTTTGAGAGAGATTATCCCATTATTTGAGCTGATTACACAGCCAACCTAGTGGCCATGTTCAGGTTTTTAAACACAAATTGGATTTTATAAGGAGATTATGAATATGCAGTACAAAGGTAGAACACTCTTATGTCAATATTCATTTCCTCCACTTTCATCACAGACTATCCCAATGGGTCCCATCATTACCAACAATATCGTTGACGTTGCAATTCTGCAGTGAAAATATTTAGAAAGATGTTGTGATAAAGTGGTAAAGGAAGAACTGATGCTAAGAATCAGGATGTTGATTTAGCACCAGAATGAAATGGGGGTGGTTGGGGGGGGAGCGGTGTGGGGATGGGCGGGGGGAGTGTGTGTAGTGGTGATTTTCACAGCCTCTCTCCAGAGGGAATGTTCTGGGTACAGCTGAATCACATAGGGCAGAAATTGGCATCTCATTCCCACTCCCTTTATGGCAGCCAACATTGCCAGTTGGGGCTTTCACATTGATGACCCATAGATGCCAACCGATCTTCCTTCTACATTGATCTGGGTGCAGCCTATTTACTTCAATGAATGATACCTTTTGCATATGTTTTGTGCACAAGTGCACTCACAGTGTCTTGTATAGAACAGCCTGTATGGTACTTTCCTGATGGCAGTGTGCCCATACAAATTCACAGCTTACAGCTACCATGGGTGTCATCTGCAGAATTGTCTTAGTGTCTGCAAGAAAATATAATTGTTCTCCAGGGCACTGCTGTGATCAGTCCTAGACAAAAATAATTAACAGAATGAAAAAAAAACAAATGCAAATACTGTGGGCACTGGAAATAGGAACGTTGGAGTTAGAAACAGGAATAGGCTGTTTGGCCTCAAACCTACTCCATCATTCAACAAGATCATGGCTGCTCTGGTTGAGGTCTTTCAGCTCAAGGTTCCTGTCTGTCCCCCATAAGAGAATTCCACATTCTAATGACCCTCTGAGAGAAAACTATTTCTCCTTATCTCTGTCTTAAAATCTCCTCCAGTCCTACTCTGCCCCGTGAGAAGAAACATTTCCCTGATATCCAACCTATCCAGTCCCCACTGGATCTTAGAATCCCTACAGTGTGGAAGCAGGCTGTTTGGCCCATTGAGTCCACACTGACCCTCAAAACAGCATCCCACCCACATCCAGCCCCTCCATTTCCCATGGCTAAACCACCTACTCTGTACATCCCTGGACACTACAGACAATGTCCCATGGCCAATGCACCTAACCTACACATCTTTGGACTGTGGAAGGAAACCAGAGCAAACCCACATGGACACAGGGAGAATGTGCACACTCCACATAGACAGTCACCTGAGGCTGGAATCAAATCCAGGTCCCTGGCACAGTGAGGCAGCAGTGCTAACCACTGAGCTACTGTGTCACCCTGAATCTTGTATGTTTTAATGTGATCATTAGTGGAATTTTCTATTTTGAAGTTAAAGCATGGGAGTGAGAATGTTGGATGGTGCCATATCGACCTCAGCCCAAAGTGAGTTATCTCATGCAATCACATGGCTTTCAGCACATTATCTCTGCAAGTGAGACGCTGTGTGAATTATTTGGTGAGTCACGTGGCTACTGAGCCTTCTCACTGCTGTCAGGACCTTCTGGATTTGAAGATCCTGGTGCCTTATTTAAAGGCTATTTGGATTCACTTCAGATGCTGCAATGAAACCAGACCTGGGACCTAAGAGCAAACTTGCTCCCATGTTTATGAAACTGCACTTCAGGTGCTGCTGGACAGGGTCATGTAGAGTAGATCCATCATCTTCCTGGCTGACCGGATAAAAATACCATCCCATCAGACCCATCCAACAGATCTGGCCTCATCCTTCTGAACGCCAATCAATAGAATCCTAACTGATCCATTGTCCCCAAATACATCAGTCTTGCCATCACAGGAAACATTCTGGTGCAACATTCTGGTTGCACTCCCTCTATAGTCAGAACTTCTTTTCTCAGAAAAGGAGACCAAAATTGCACACAATATTCCAGGTGCAGTCTCACCAAGGCCCTGCACCAATTGTACCAATACTTCACTGCTCTTGTACCTGAATCCTCACACTATGAAGGCTGACATACCATTCACCTTCTTTACCTCCTACTGTACTTGCAATGCTAACTTTTGGTGTCTTACGTACAAGGACATCCAGGTCTCATTGCACCTCTCCCTTTCCCAGTGTGTTGCCATTCGGATAATACTCTGTTTTTGCTAACCTCACATTTATCCACATTATGTTGCATGTGCAATGTAATTGCCCAGTCATTCAGCCTTTCCAAATCACACTGGAACATCTCTACATCCTCTCACAGCTCCCCCTCCCACCCAGGTTGCGTTGTCTGCACGATGCAACACTAAAGTTGACATAACGTGGGATCACGATCAGGAAATGATTCAGGTGTCAGGTTCCCAAACCAGTTTGAAACTTCAGCCCAAGATATCTGTTCAGTAAAATCATAAAAATGAGGAAACAAAACTCATACAGTCCTGGAACCTGCTCTGCTACCTGATAACCCAGGGATCAGTGTTATTTGTATTAGACAAGTAAACTAGTGGCCCCAGTTACTGCCCTGGGGAGACAGGTTCAAATCGTGAAGCAATATTCACTTAATATGTGTGGAATATAAATAATTCTGATCAAGAAATTCAAGATGAGAATAAATTCCTTCACCCAGGGAATGGTGAACTTATCGAATTTTCTGCCACAGAGGCCAAACATTAATGTTTTCAAGAAGGAAGTAGATATAATTCTTAGGAAGATTCTAAGAGATCAAAGGGTATTGGGGAGAGAGCAGGAACTGGGTGCTGAGTCAGATGATCAGCCATGATCATATTGAATGGCCCACTCTCGCTCCTATTTTCTATGTTTCTGTGTATCACTGATGGTAAAAACCCATCTGGTTCACTAATGGCCATTAGGTGGAGGAAATCTGCCATCCTTACCTGGTCCAGCCTTTACTTGTGACTCCAGACCCACAGCCATGTAGTGCACCCTTAACTGCCCTCTGAAATGGCCATAGTGCCAGTCAGTTCAAGGGCAATTAGGGCTAGGCAACACATATCAGTCTTGCTGGCAGTGCCCACATCCCGTGAAAGAGTAAAATAAAGCCACAGGATTTTCCCAAAGGTGATTACATTTCACCTCCAGTTTCTCCTCTGACCCTATACAGTTTAGTTTAGTGCCCAAAAATACTCCTTGAAAAATAGTAAATAAAAACCGACAGAACTGTGGATGCTGTAAATCAGAAACAAAACAAAACCCATAAGTTGCTGGAAAAGCTCAGCAGGTCTGGCAACATCTGTGGAGAGAAATCAGAGTTAACGTTTCAGGTCCGGTGACCCTTCCTCAGGACGGGTTCCAAAAACATTAACTCTGATTTCTCTCGACAAATGCTGTCAGACCTGCTGAGCTTTTGCAGCAATTTCTGTTTTTGTTTCTTGAAAACAGTATTTAACTGCACAACCACACCCTCTGGAGTAGAGAATTCCACAGGTTTTATAAAATAGAATTTCAATGACAAAATTCTCATTAAGGAGCCAATTCTATTTTCACAGTAATTTAACACGGCGCCTCTTTACCTTAGACGAAATTGATCTACTTACAGTTCCTTTCGGGAGAAAAAAATTGAATTAAAGACAGGAGGTTAAAAAATCTAGGAACTAGATCTCTGCAGTATTCTCTTTTATTGACTTATAAGTTATCGTTTTTGTTTTAAAAAAACAGGAAAGTGGTTCTGTGTTCCTATTTTCCGATGTTGTCTGGCCAGTCACACAGTTCCTTAGCCACTCTGTGGTACCGCCCCAATCTGAATGAAAGCAGCAGAATTAAACTGCACATGGTGACAGTCAGTGAGTGCTTGGTCTGATCAGAGACTTGCCGAGGCTGTGTCTGTGTGTGTGTATGTGTGTGTATGAGAGAGTCAGCTACCACACAGAGCTGTCCCTTTACCCTGTTCTCCGGGCAACTGGCTCAGTGTCTCTCTAGGAAACTTTTAGACCGACACCCACCCCCCTCCCCCCCATCCACTTCTCTGTCTTTCTCAAGGAGTTTGTTTCGGGACTGGCCATATGGCAAAACGCAGTTCCTTATCCCTGCGGATCATTGAAGGAAAGAACCTGCCGGCCAAGGATCTGTGAGTATGAGACTGTGCGTGTTGGAGATCCGGGAGTTGGAACTGCTCTTTTAGACAGGTCCTTCTATGAAGTGAAAGCCAGAGAGGGATTGAATTGTAGGGCTGATCGTTTTCTGATTTCCCCTTTCCAAAATAAAACTGGAGCTGAGAGAGAGAGAGAGAAAAGAAAATAACCTGGAGGGGAAGTTCATCAGGCAGAATTTGGGATTTGTTCCAGACTGGGCTTTGCTTTGATAAATGTAATCCTGAGTTTGATTCGGTGTGGATTTGAATTGGGAGCCGGGGCTCTCTGTCTGTCTCTCTGGGTGTTTTGCTGCAATGCCACGCTGCTGTGTGTCACTCAGCATCTCCCGTCTCCAGGGACAGCTCTAGCTGACCTCCCCTGCTCCCTGCCCCAGGCCGGGGCCACCTTCCTCACTGCCCTCCTCTCTCGGACCTTTCACACCGGATCAGGAGCCGGAATCCCGGCGGGATCCAGAGGAAAAACGGAGGCTTCGTGCCGCCTTCAGGTCCGTTGTGCCGCCGCCTTTTCCACGGAGCTGTCCCTGTGTCTCTCCTGTAACTCCTTACTGACCACTCTTGAGTGCTGACCAGCAAATCTGCAACCTCTTCCGTGTGACCGTTCATAACCACCATCCTGATACTTTTGAGCCAGGAACCATTCTCTTCATTTTGCTGTCTCCCATTCTTATTGTTCACTTTAATTATTTCGCTCTTTTTACTCTCTATACCCTTTTCTCTCAGCCCTGTGTCTATCTTCCCTTTCTTTCTGCCTTGTTCTCCTCTCTCTGCCTCTTCCTTCTCTCCCACTTCATTTTTCCCTATTTGTCTCCTCTCTTTTCTCTCTTTCTCTCCATCCCACAGGAGCTTTTTTTAGAAAAAGAATGTGAGCCCCAAAGAGAGAATAACCAAGAACTTGGTCAGTGGATTAAGGTTTTTATGAATGACTTAAAGGAGGTGAAAGCAATGTAGAGTCAGCACAGATGTTCCTCTGAGGGGAACCAGCAATTCATTAAACATTCATGTGGTCCATTCAAATGAAAAGCAACAAAAATAAATGATAATATGTTTATCAATGTCTTTCTCTTTGTAGTTCCCACTGCTGTCAGGTACAGAAGTACATGTTTATTTCTCTTTTCCCTGTCTGGTTTTAGTGTTGCTAGTGATACCTCTAGGTGCTGTCATAACTCTCTAGCGCATGACCACACAAAAGCAGATACTTCTGTCATTTCCCTGAAGCAACTGTGCAGAGCCCTTCTGGGATATTATATTTCTGCACAAAGGACAGATATGTTTGTCATGGAATACAAACTGAAAGAACTGTGAATGCTGTAAATCAGGAACAAGAACAGAAGTTGCTGGGAAAGCTCAGCAGGCCTGGCAGTATCTGTGGAGAAAAAATCAAGAGTTAACATTTCGGGTTCAGTGACCCTTCCTGAGAACATTGATGTAGTTGCACATAGTCACATCAGAACTATCCTCACAATCTCCACTCAGGGTAGGTGATAACCCAGTGGTACTATTGCTAGGCTATTAATACATGTACCCAACTAATGTTCTGGGGACTTGGGTTTGAATCCCACCATGGCAGATGGTGGAATTTCGATTCAATAATAATCTGGAAATAAGAGTTTAATGATGATTATGAAACTATTGCCATTTGTCAGGAAAAAAAAACCCATCTGGTTCACTTTAGGGAAGGAAATCTGCCATCCTTACCTAGTTTGGCCTACATGTGACTCCAGTAATGTGGTCGAGTCTTAATTGCCCGCTGGGCAATTAAGGATTGGCAATAAATGCTGGTTCAGCCAATGATCTGTGAATGAATAAAGATAAAATTAGCTCTGTCTGAGAATCTCCATCAAACACAATGCGCTGGAGGTTTCAAACAAAGTTGTAGCCAAGAAATGTTTAATTGTGAATGAAGCATGGAATTTCAAAAGACCATTTTCCATTCACTTCTTTTGTATCAAAAAGGGATAAGTCAAAATGATTTTCAAAGGAATTACTTTTGAATTAAAGTCCCACTCTAGAGGCTTGAACACAAAATTTAAGCTGTCAGCTCAGTGCGTTACTGAGGGACTGCTGTACTGTTGGAAATGCTGTCTTTCTGTCATAACATTAAAGGCTAAGTGCTGGAAAATGAGACTAGTGTAAATTTAAAGTAGTTTTGTTCGTGCAGATGCATTGAACTGAAGGTCCTTTTTGTATTGTATGTTCCTTTGATTCTAGCTATAAAACTTGAGGTTGTGTCTGTCCACTAAAGCAAAATATCCCATGCACAGGTTGAAGAACTTGAAGTACAGCAGATAGTTTCTCTTTGGTGCCTTGGTTAATATTTATCTCTTAATTGGTTTCACACAAGATCATGGGAGCTTGCTGTGCATAAAGAAAGATTGCCATGTTATCTGCACTACAACAGTGATTACACTTCAAAAGTACTCTATTGATTTGGGATATCCTGAGGAATATGAGGCACTATATAAATGTACATCTTTGTTCTTCCACTTGAGAAGAGCAAGGGAGATGGGCCATTGAAATTTTTTAGGCAGAAGTAAATAGATTCTTATTAGGTGAGGAATCAGATTATCAGAAGTAGATGAAAATGTGAGTTTGTAAGAAACAGAGCAGCTAGGAGTCTATGAAAGGGCCAAGAGGCTTACTTCTGCTCCTAATGTGTATGTTCATTCCTTTAAGACCTGTTTGATACTCATGGTCCAACTAAATTTAACTCAATAAATCACATCGATAGGAGAGTAATTCTGTTTCTATTTGACTGTATTTTTGAATCTTTGGAGGGACAAACAAACTGATCAATGGGATCGTGTCCCTCTACCTTGTGTGGAGATCTCTCACCTGTGACAAGTTTCGCCTTGGAAATATGAGCTGGAAGATCTCAAACTGGAATTGATGCGCTGTATCCCAGTATGATGTTCAGTATTAATACAAGCTTTGAGGAAAGGGAACATGAGTTTGAGCTAGTTTGAGGCAAGATAACTACACTGTTACCATGGAAACAGAAAATTTATAGCACAGAAGGAAGCCATTTGGCCCGTTCTGTGTCCACTGACAAAGAATTATCCTGATTAGTCCCACATTGCCACTCAGTAGATTACAGGACTTTGACAGTACATTCAAATGATTTTAATGCAATGTGGGTTTCTGCCTCTATCACCTTCTCAGACAGCGAGTTACAGACCTTCCAGCAGACAAACAAATTCTGCTCAACTCGTAAATCAGCTCTGCACCCTCCCTAACAGGATCACATCTTTCTTGTGACCAGAAGCCTGTACACTAATCAAGCAGTGACTGAACTAGTGTTTTATGAAGTTTTAAAGTAACCCATTTGCTCTTACAGTCTGTCTCTCAACTACTAAAGGCAAGCATTCAGTAACTTTATTTGAGGCCTGAGGCAGATCAGCTGCAATCTTGTTGAATGGCAGGGCAGGTTTGAGGGGCTGAATGGCCTACTCCTGCTTCTATTTCTTATGTCCATACTTATCTGTTCTGTTATCTTCAGGGACCTGAGGACTTGCACAGGTTCCTCTGTTCCTTTTCAATTCTCAGGCTATCCCATTATTTGTTTTGTACTCCTTTACCTTGTTTGCCTTTCCCAATTGCATTAACTCACACTCTGCAGATTGAATTTCATTTGCCACTTTCCTGCCCATCTGACCATTCCATTGATGTCATTGCTGAGGTCTATAACTTACTTCCCCACTATCAACCACATAGCCAATTCTTTTGGCGTCAACTGCAATCTCCTTAATCATGTTCCCTATATTTAAGTCATTAGTATATAAAACAAAAAGAAACAGATCCATGAATGAGTGAGCCCTGAAGAGCTCTAGTAGAAATAGCCGATCATACACAAAAACAAGTGGCTTTGCTTCCTGCCATGGAACCAATTTTGGATCCAACTCACCAATGACCCTTGAATCCTACTGGCTCTTACTTTTCTGATGAGTCCGCCATGTGGGTCCTGACATGCTCAGTGGCTTCTTTCTGTGCAGTTACTTAGAAAATAGGGGCAGGAGGCCATTCAGCCCTTTGAACCCACTCCACCTTTTAATACGATCATGGCTGATCATCCAACCTAGTCCCCCATTCCTGCTTTCACCCCATAGCCTTTGAGCCATTTATACCTAAGAATTATATCTAGTTGAAAGCATTCAATGTTTTGATCTCAATCACTTTCTGCGGCAGTGAATTCCTCAGGCTCCCCATTCTCTGGGTGAGTAAATTTCTCCTCATCTCAATTCTAAATGGATATTCTGTATCTCTGGTTGTGGATTCCCTGGTTATTGGAAACATCTTTCCAGCATTTACCTTGTCTAGTTCAGTTAGAATTTTATAGGTTTCTACAGGATCGCCTCTCATTTTTCTAAACTCCATTAAATATAGTCCAAATTGATCCAGTCTCTCTTTGTATGTCTGTTCTGCCAACTTAGGAATCAGTCTGATAAATCTTTGTTGCACTCCCTCTATAGACAGAACATCCATTCTGTGATTGTTAAACCCTGCTAAAATGATTTGAGAGGATTTGAAAATGATGGTCAAATCCTCTGCTTCGTCCCCTCATGCTTCTCTCAGAGGAATGGATTTCACCTGCCCTTAGTTTATCTACATTCAAACATTCTAAACCCATTCATACATTCTCTCTGATTATGTTTGTGCCATTCAATTTTCACAATTCTCCTCCTTGGCTACAATGTCTACATCATTCCCCTTTTAGTGAAACAACATAAGGTATTCATTATAAGCAATTTCCATGTCTCCTGCTTCCACACATTACCTTTTAGGTCACTTACGGGCCCTGATCTTTCCTTAGTTATTTTTTGGCTGTTTATGTATTTACAAAGCATCTTTACTTGCCAAAATTTTTATGCCCTTCCTAGCTTTGCTTTCATAAATTCCTTTTAAACGCCAGCCCTGCATATCTCTGTTCCAGACTCCACTTTGTATGCTCTTTCATATTTGTTCGAATGGTGCCGGGAAGG